CACACCAAAAGGAAATTTTAATTCATCCTGGCGTAGAAATGTAAATTTACACTTACCATGAAGTGTCATAAGCCAAAAGGCACCTACAGTCTCATACACGTAGTTTCAAGATACTGTACATATAGGAAAAAGCTAACTTTTTTCCTGTAAGTATCTTTGTGGATTTCATTTTGCCCCTATCACGATCATTTTATGATTAGAGCTGGGAAGATGATCTGTAGAAGATGAACTTTTGTTGCTAACCAGTTAGAATGTTTTTACCTGCTTTCTAGTTTATAGGGTTGGCTCAGATATAAAAAGTTTCCATGTTTCCAGTGTTACTGTAGTGGGAGGATGACTTCAGATGTTCATGGAGATCATTTATTAATATTGATCTATTATCAGGAAACATACATGTTAAAGACTTCCAAGTAATCTCACAAGTTTGGTTAATAAACACCCCATGTAAATGCTCTTAAACAAGCACAAAATAGCCTTTTTAAAATTGCACCAGTTCTAATTATTTAAGCAGAGACCTATTGTAAATACTGCGAATAAATACAGTTTTGTACTTCTAGTTGGTCATTGAAAAGCTAATCAATAATTATTAAAATGGCAATATTTTCAGGCATGCCATTTTTTATAAATTGCAATGAACAAAAATAAATACATATACTGTATATCATTTATATTTTTTATTGGTCTTAAAACACAAACTTACAGAGCTTAATATACAAGCTTTGTAGGCATCTAACTCATTGATCAGACCAAGGTTAAGAACTTTGGACAAAACACACTCAACACATTAATGTTGGAAAAGCATTTTTACTGCCTTATTGTACATAATAAAACAAACTGCCCTAAAAGACATTGCATGAGATTGTAAAGGTGATAGCACACTCTTTTTGTATAAAGGTCTATTTTTTTACTAAGAAAAGCAAAAAGGAAATGTGACTTTCCTTCGTGCTTAACAGCATTTGTACCACTTAGAGTTTAATAAACAAATTCCAATACCAAATGAAGCTTGGCGTCAAAAGTAATGCAGTTAAAAATCTTCTACATCCTACATCATTTAGATTGTTAATACATTTATATAATGTGGTTGTGTATATATGTATATCAATAAATAATCTGTTCAATTTGTATATATAGAAAATGTATTTATGAATAAGAATTATGCTGTGATTTATTGGTGTTGCTGTATTGAAATGTTCTACAATACAACTGTACATGTACTGAAATGGGGTACACTAGGAAAAAAGCATTCCATAACCAAGCACAGAGGATAAACTGTGATTATGATGTTCGCTATAAACATGAAGTGTTGCCTAGCAGAGTGCATTCAATAAAAGTTGTAGCACATCTTTAGTTGAAGCATTTACAGCTCGGTATGACTGGAAATGAACAAACAACAAGATTCTGTAAATCGAAATCTTTGCAGGGTTTAAACAAATTACAGGTAGTTGGAAGAAATCAATTAGGAAGAACTTTTAAAATGGTGCTTTACAAAAGTAATGAAATTAATTGCTTTGTAATGGTGTTTGTTTTTGTGAAATATAAGCTCTGGCTGAGTTGTAGAAGCTTCAGCATTGCTAATAGATATTTTTCATTGACATTCTAGATTTTAAAGAGGTTAATACACAAAGGCTAAGGGACTGATGTGTTGTCTGATTTTGTTTTCAGTAATTGATTTCAATTTGATTTTCAATGCTCCCCTAGCCCAGAGTACCAAAATTATAACCAGTTGGATTTCAGCAGAAGAAAAATTGCTAAAGAAAGTACTTTGTGTTTTGGATATTTAGGACCGATATAAGTGCAGAAACAAGCAAGCAATCACTTAACTGCATCCATTGACATTGCAGATTCAGAGCTCTGCAGACACAGTTTTCCCTAAGGATCAGGACTGTACTTAATGGGTTATTCATAGTGCATACCATCTGTTTGTTCATCAATGGGCTTTAAAATAGGGCAAACTGTCATATCTAAATTATTAAATTTATGTATAATAGTTATATTATTGTGACAAACCACCAAAACAGCCCCTTTTTCCCATAATTGCATACAATGAAACTAATTTGAAGAACAGTTTGACAGCAATGTAATGTTGTTTTATCCTGTTTTCATGAGGTTGAAGTGTTGGTGTCTGATTTATTCATTCTAATTTAATGTACAGTATACATGTTGTTCTGTCAGTAATATGTTATAGTAGAAAAAGAGGGCACACACTTTCAAAATATCTAAATAATAATGTTGTTATTTCTGAGCGTGGTGTAAGACATGTTGAGATTAACCCACCAGTACCTTTCAAGCTTTATGGGGAGCTGGATGAAAAAGAAACATTTTGGAATTCCTGTACTTGCAGAACTTGTCAGTTTCCTACATTTATACATTTCTGGAGCTTTTCAGTCCATTTATCTATTGAAAATTGGGTTAGATATTGCATTTGGCCACTTTTTCATATCATGAGTTTCATAACATTGCTTATAACAATGAGTAGCGCTACCTTAAATTTTGATAGAGCTTCTCAAGTGTATTTTTCCAAAAAACGTTGCCGGTTAGCTTTTCATTCCTCTTTTGACAATCTCTTTTGCGTATTTCTGTATTATGAATCATAACCATTGGATACCATTGTACAAGCTAAACAGCTAAGCACTTTTTTCACATGCTTTTTTACCTTTGTATGCCATATCAAAATTTGAGAATTTTTGTAATTTCCTACATATTTCTGCAGTAAACAGGGGAACTTTGGGTGCTTTAATTTCATTCACAATTTTTAAGTCATGTGAAGATGGGCCAGTTGTGATCATCTCATCAGTTGTGATCAGCACTGATAGTACCAGTTATCTATGTCCACATGTGTTTAAATTAAATTTAGTATGTCACATATATACAATTTTGTAATGAGATTATAGAGGCAGTCTTTCAAGGCCTTTGGCTCCCTTGAAAAAGTCACTTAATTTTTTATCTGTGATACCTTTTTTTTAAAAGTATTAAATTAAGAGACTAATTGTTCATTGAATTGAAAACAAATACAACCAATATACAATCTAACTGGCATATTTGTTATTGCTGATCCAGTGTTTGCTGCTTATTTAAGTCTGCTAGAATAATAATTTATTGAATGGAGAATTTAACGTTCTCTCGTTTGAATTTTGAATTTCACAAGCCATCGCCATAGCCCAAACTTTGTTGTCAGTTCAGTTATCAAACCTGGAGAGTTTCCAGTTCATTTGTATAGAAATTAATAGTGGCTGTGGGAAATTTGTTAGTGATTGGTACTGTAGCTATCACGTGTCAATTCAGAAGCACTGTTACTTTATTCACCTTGTTGATGGGTTTAAGAATGAAAAATAATAATCTGGCTTGGCATTTTAACAGAGCTATCTGGAAATACAATCTGTTTTATGAATAACCCCCTAAGACTTCAGATGGTACTATATCCAGCTTTGTTACAATATACCTGTTGAAGATTTTACTGGTGTCAAATTAACTATGATTGACAGCTTTTGAAGTTTGGTGCTGTTCTCAACCTGAATTTAATGCAGTAATCAGCACTTTTAAATGATATTCATATTTTCTGAAAATGGATATATGATAATGACCAAAAAAATCAGATGCAAATCTTAAGCGGTTAAACAAGACTAGTTGTTTTATACTCACTGTAAGGATGGCGTCACTACATAAAGGTGTTTTTTAACATATAGATGCATTGGATCTGTGCAAATGCACACCAATTGTTAAAAGTAGCCAATGACAAACCAGAGAAATGAAATAACCTTTCAGGAGAACATGAAAGGCAAGTTGTTGTGACAAAAACAGACATCAAATAGTGGTTGCATTTTTTTTCAAATCCACAAAACGAATCTCATCCCAGATACACTCAAGCTTCTTTAAGATATTTGAAAGGCATTTTAAGTCTTTGCTAGGATGAGAAAATGTTCTGAAGTGCATCAAACACCATTTTATTCAGAACACAATGGTGTATTGTAAATTAAGTTCTCAAGAGAGAGTCAAGGATTTTTGATGTGATAAACTGTGACCTTTTTAAACAGGGCTGACCAGATTCTCATATGTTTTGGCAATAATCAGGGCAGTCATTCACTGAAATCTACCTCCTGAAATGAAATATGCATACTTTTAATTGAATATTATAGAATTGTTTGACTATAAAGGCCATTCATTCTCAGGTTTATTTCCCAGCCATCATTGTAAGGCCTTAATTAGCA